TGTCTGTCTGTCTGTTTGTCTGTTAGTATCCAATAAGTGTCAAAACGGCTGAGCCGATTATTAAATCTGCAAACTTTTTTTGTTATTGTTTTATATTGCAGAAGCTGAAAGGCCCGGTGTTTAGTTTCATAGTTTGAAAAAGTGTATGTATACAACGTCAGATTTCAAAGATATAAGGATTGGAAAATCAGAGTTTGTTTCAAGAACTCAGTTCTTTTGACTTAATTCCTTTTGAGAAGAAGGAACTGTTTTCTACCGCTCTATGATTTTGTCCTTAGAGTTGAGAAAGATGAGTTACTATAGGGGAGTACGGTTATCTAGCGCATTTTCCTAGCCATTGTCCGTTGGACCACCTACTATAGTTATTTAATGCATTTCAAATATTGTTTTGATTTCTATTTCTATTTATTTTTCCACTTAAATTACTGCAGCAATAATGTTGAAAATTTAGAACAGATTTATTTCGAAACATGGAAAAAAAATGTCAAGAATATATTTTATAAATCTATCTTTCATTTCTCGAATCTCATTAACTGTACAATTAGCTATAAATTATAGCTCATTATATTTATCAAAAAATGTTTTTTTTCGTACATATAAACTCATGTATTTATGACATGTAACAATTTTGGTAAACCAAATAACCTTACGAAAATAAAAATATTTTGTTTAAAAAAAATAAAACTAGAAACCAAATCAAATCATATCAAAACAGGATTATTTAACTGGATGGAACACCTTAACTTTTAGAAATTATAAAACAAAGAACGGAAAAACTCGCCAGGGAAACACAATGTTTAGCAATCCTTGGATGTTAGGTATTTTAAAGTGGGGCATGGCTCAAATTTGGTCGGTGGCTGGGTGCTTCGCAAATACAAAGTAAAAAGGAGTAAGTTTATCGCAAATGCAAATTAAAATAAAAAAGTATATTTATCTTATAAACGGAAGGCCGGACTGAAAAACTAGGAATGGGGAGGACTTGAAACTCCAATCCACTACTGGAGTCTTAGGCCATCCCTGCAACTTATGATTTGATTTGATTCATCTCAAAAGACGATAAAATTGTTTACAACTACTTTTTCAGGAAATGAAAAATTTCACTTAACCACGGGTTTCCTCCACTAATTTTGGTCTTGGTAACTTTGGCAAAGTAAAATTCCCTTAACTTCCATGTAAAGTAGTTATAAATAATTACAATTACTTCTTATTCCATTAAAAAAGAAGCATTTTGTTATGCAACATTTTTCCTTGAATCATGCTAATACGGTGGTAGGCGATTTGATCAATATAATGAAGACAATTTTTGTTTTCAATTTGGATTTACATTAAACTTTTAAACAGCATGGATACACAAAAACATGAGAACAATTAGATAAGCTGTCAATTAAAAAGCTTCTCTTTAATTATTTAAGTTTTAAGTCTAAAAATCGTGTTAACAATCAAAACTTAAAAAATAAGTCGTCTTCATTGCATTGATTTAATCGCCTACCTCTGTATAAAATCTTATTTCTGCGGGTCCATGTCAAAACCAGCTAATTACAGAGGAATGTCAAATATAAAATTATTATTTCATCAAACAATACACGCTCAGAGAGATGATTCTGATGATAACCATTTGTTTATGCTACTACATATATTTTAACCCAGAACATCGGAGACATCCTAAGAATTATTAACTTTTTAAAACGATCGTTTTTAAATTTTCCAAATTGAAAGTTGCTTGAAATTACGCTCTTGCAGACCTTTTAAAGTACCAGCTGTTGGTGACCCTGTATATTTTGCCGCTCTGCAGGTAGCGGCCAAACTCTGTTACTTTGCGATTGTCGCAATGATTTGTAAGAAGAGAGAGATTAGTATATATTTTATGGTTAGGTTAGGCTTAGACACTTTCTAGGCCGCTGCTGCGGCTAGAAGGCCGAGCGCCGCGGCTAGGACAGGCTTGGGGGCCAAGCGCCGCGACTAGAACTGGCCCTCTCTCTGTCTTATAATTCCTTGCGGCATTCGAGTGTAACACAGATTGGCTGCTGCCCTCTCTACTGTAGATATAAAATTTTCTTTTTTAAAAAATTCTTATTTTTATAAAAAGATATTTATTGGACTGAAAATGCATGTTAACAATTACTTTTCTACACAAATGGATAAAAGATGTGTCGTCTCCTTTAGTAGCAAAAGACAGGTTAAAAACAATATTGTTTAAAATCTTGGCGTTCAAATTGTTAGTTTAAAATGATTTATAATAAAAATAGCATATTAAAGATATTTGGATCCTTGGTATCTCCGATTATAATAAATGCAAAGAATAAGATTTCACAAGAGGCAATATAATTCCGTCTTTTTTCCGCATTTTTTTTTTTTTTTGTTGTTTAAAAATTACATCTCCAGATCTACAGAAATTTTAGGTCGTCGCTGAAATCTTATCCTCTGTGGCTAATTGGGAATAGTGATCCAATTTTAATAAAAAGTAATTGGAAAATCTTTTTTCTAAACTTTTCTGGTCAGGGTCCACATAGCAGAATTCCTGTAACAAGAAAATTATATAGTTTTTTCAATTTCATAATTCTGGAAAAATTATTATAAATTTTGGTTTAGATTTATTCCAACTTTTGGAACTGAAAAGTGATGACCTTATAACTCTGGAATAGGAAGACGACTTTTAGACTAGCTCTATTTATATAAGTTTCTAGTTATTCAAGTTTCCTGTTTTCCAGGGAAGGGGCTCAGCTCTACTAAGTGTTTACCTGTCTCCTGGGAGTGGATTTAGCACAATATCTCCTGTTGTCTTCCATCCAAATTCACGGCATAATATACGCATAACCTGGAGAATATAATATTTAAATTTCAAATGATCCTCCGTGTAAAAGATGGCTATTTCAGATTCACAACGGTACCCTTAAATCTTTATCTAATCAAGGTTATATTTGTTATCAATGTTAATAATTCAGGGGAAGAAAGCTCCAAACCGTGCGTATGTTTCAAACCTGACACTAGTACGTCAGGTTCGGGCACAAATATTATGATCAACGTTTTAGTAACTTTTCCTGTGCCGAGAGCAAATATTAGTTTAAAAAAAACTATTTCCAACATATTATTAAACACAACAAAATCTACAAGTATCATGATTTACTTCTTTTCTAAAATTTAAACTGTGAGTGATCGTTTATTTAAAAAAAAAAACAATTCAAAGTTTTCCATTTTTGCACATTTCACGAATTCGAATCTTAGACGCGTTTTGGAACATAACGCACTTTCTAAATTGTCTACAAAGCATGAATCACTGAAAATATTTTTATCTCCTAAATTCTTCTAAAATTTGTTTTCACATTATACTTTGAAATACAAAATTTCCCGCATTTTTCTGTTCAATAATTGTAATTACTTCAAATTTTTGTTATAAAAATGTAGCCTCAACTTTTTTTACTTCTCAGGGTTCTCATCTTTGATAAAACTAAACAAAAATATATTTATTAGAAAAATGTATTTTTTTAAATATATTCATCAGGTGCGCCACCCCCCTCCCGGATAATTCAAAACTTTAATTCTCCCGGAAAAATGGAAAGTTTTTTTTTGCAAATGCATTTTCTTTAATTCTGGTTTAGTCAGATCATTAATTTTGATAAAACTGGGAAGGTTAAAGTAATCTTTCAAGACAACCCACGCAAAATGTGATGCAAGAAAATCAAATGTCAACTACGTCTTATAGACTGTAAGCGTAAATTTCACGTGACCCTCTATAGCAAAGATGACAATGCCCGATTTACAACGGTACCCTTAAAAGCTTTGTCTGATCAAGTTTGAATTGGATATCCATGTTTTTGTTTCTGAAAACTGATTCGGGTTCTCTGCAATAGTGACTTGTGCATTTCCTGCCTATAAGAAAAACAAGAAAAATCATTTGATTTAAACAAGAGTTAAAAACATGACGTTATCTTCCACATTTTTGATCAGAGCCCGAATTTAATGAATTTGAGTCGCATCTCAAATCCGCCAAAAAACAGGTTTCAATTCAGCGCCGGCTTAAATCTTGAAACATTGAATTCAAATTTAAGTGGAACAAATTATATTTGAGCCGCATCTCATATTTAAGCCGTGGCTCAAACTCTTTAATTTCAGCCTTAAACCGTTTTAAATCGGACTTTGCCACCTTTACTCGAGGATCACTTGAAATTACGCTTACAGTCCCTTTAATACAAGCCTACAGTGAGAACCAGAAAACTCTGGAATTGGAAGATGACTCAGATTTTAACTAGGCCAATGAATTGTGCAGTGAATTCAGACCAATTTTACATGGATGCAAAGACTTTGCTAATTATAAAGACGAGGCGTTGGACTATTGTGTACGCCAGTACAGCTGTATTGTGTACGCCAGTACAGCTGTATTTTGACGTCATTGGTTATTTTGGTTGTTTGAGAGTCTAATGATCGACATTAAAACCTTAGTTATTTAACACAATTGTGAATGTTTTGTGCTAAAAAATAACTAAAATTAATGATATTTATTTGTATTTTAAAATTTATTTAATCATTTGTTGGATATGAGAATCGTCTGGTGAATTATAGCTGAATTTGTGATAAAGTTACGCATCTCTTTTGTATTTATACATGTATTCTTATTCCACAGTTTTCTGGTTCTCACTGTACTAAACCTAATGTTGAGCTCAGGGAGTACTCGACTTTCCCGTGAATAACTTGACATAATGTTGACGTTTAACCTGTTAAGTACAGCAATCCCCAAAAAAATAAGAATTCAAAGACGACTAGAAAATCGTCTTCGATTTCCGATAGTTAATTAAGGACAAATAGTTCATAAAAAAAGATGTACGTCTTTCGAGCTTACCGTGTTTCTTCAAATTTGAGATATTAAACAAATACGGTACACCCGTATTGTATATATTGTAATGCGGCATGTACCTGACTCCCTTTCCCAGTAGAGCAGATATTTCCTCCTTATCTAATCCGAAAACTGTACAGGTTGGTATTATGTACTCACCCTCACCTAAACATTATTATGTACACTGTAAAGAGTAAAGTTAAAGAGTACATCTTAACATGACACGCTGATTGGTTGAATTTTATACTTCTTTCTTGGATATCGAATGCGTATATTAAAGTAATCTCGGGTTTAGTAAAACCTGGAGTTTAAGCATTAATCTTAAAATCCATTATTCTAAAGTTTTCAGCACTGTACTCTAAGTTTTAAGTTTTAATAGTTTTAAATTGTACTATCTAAAAGTCTGTAATCACAATCATTTTTTTATTTTGGCCTTGTAATAAAAATCAAACTATATTAAGAATTCAAATTTTGAAAATACTTTTTTTTAACAGCCTCTAAAACAGTAAAAGAAAATTGCTCAAATGTGCCGTATAGAATGGAGGTTGAAAATATTTAAGGAAAACTAAAGTGAAAATTTGTACTTTGATGATTTAAAGATAATATATATATATATAGTATATAGGCCATAACACTTGATAAAATGACAAGTGGTTTTTATCGCTAAGAATGTTTAAGGAACCGAGTTTTAGCCACAAAATCAGATTTCATAATCCCTATATCTTTGAAACACAATGTCGTAGGACGTAGACCTTATATATTTAAGGCTTTAAATTCTGTTATATTAAATAATTTAACTTTGAAATATCAAAGGTTTTTACCATCAGGTTGCAATGATATAAGGTTTAGAAAAGTTGAGTTTGTAAAAAGACGACTTTCAGTTCACTGTTTTCTGGGTAAATACTGTATAAAACAGTAATAACCAGAAAACAATAGAATAGGAAGACGACATTATAGATATTTATATGTGTAGTTGATGTTGTTACAAAGCAAATGGTTTTACTAGACACGTATTAAATCACTAATTTTATGGGTCTGTTTACACTGCACAATTGCTGTGTATCATGCTTATTTTATAACTTGATTCTAAAAGTCGTCTTCCTATTTCAAAGTTTTCTGGTTATCCCAGATCTGTCTGCATAATTATTCTTAAACCTTATATTAAAATGTATGCTACACTCTTTACGACAAAAATGATTAAAATATTGAAATGATTTCCTCCAAAACAAAGATAAAAATGATTTCCTCCAAAACAAAGATAAAAATGATTTCCTCCAAACCAAAAATAAAAATGATTTCCTCCAAAACAAAGATAAAAATGATTTCTTCCAAACCAAAAATAAAAATGATTTCCTCCAAAACAAGATAAAAATGGTTTCCTCCAAAACAAAGATAAAATGATTTCCTCCAAAACAAAGATTTAAATAATTTCCTCCGAAGCAAGGATTAGAATGATTTCCTCTCAAACAAAATTTAAAATGATTTCCTCCTGAACGCACTTTCTCTCTTAATATCTCCGATGACTCCGATGGCCTCCAATCCCTCGCCTCCGACCATTGTCCAAATCAAACTCTTCCTGTCTCCTAAACAAAAGTATAAAAAGAGATTTTTTTCAGGGGGAAAATGTCCTAAGAAAATATACTTATAAGTTATTTTAATATTATATACAGGGTGTCCCACTAAACATTTGAGAGATGACTTAAAGGTCGTCCTTGATATTGTACTGTTTAAACTGTATATTGTACTGTTTAAACTGTAGATTATACTGTTTAAACTGTACATTGTACTGTTTAAACTGTATATTGTACTGTTTAAACTGTATATTGTACTGTTTAAACTGTACATTGTACGGTTTAAACTGTATATTGTACTGTTTAAACTGTACATTGTGCGGTTTAAACTGTACATTGCACTGTTTGTACTGTACATATATACCTGGTAGATCACTGCACACAGGAACACAAGGTTTATATCCAAATTCCTTCGCTAGATGTCTCATTAACTAATTTTATTAAAGATTGTTCTTCAAATCTGTTTTAAAGTGTTAAAAATTAAAATCTCATTAAAAATACAGCTCTACAGATTTACTCTTCTTTTCTTAAAATAAAATCATATTTGAAACCTTTCTAGAAAGTTATTGTTAAAGAGTTCTAATTGTCTTTTATCCAAATCCCCAACTTTAAAGAGAAAGATATATATTTTAAACATCTGTATATATCGAGTAGTAATCATTGATTGTTTGTTTGTCCGATCTTAACTCGGGAACCCAATTTGCCTCAAATTTTGATTGCGGGACTAGGAATTAGTTGCACCACTGGAATTCTCTTAATTTTGTTTAAAATTTAAATTTTGTAGGTTTAGAAAGAAAGTTTAGTTACAGGCAAAGCTGGCTTCCCAAGCTATTAATATGACATTAATCTTTTAATTTTTTTTCAAAATGTTGATTGAAAATTGATAAAAACTGAAGTCTTTCATAAACCTTGAATGGAGAAATGTTTGGTATTTCAACTCCTTCATACTTTTCATTAGCATCTCCAACCTGGATTGTAGAATTTTTTGTTAAAAAAAGACTTTACAGAGAAACTAAAACAAACAACAGCACAAGGATATCTTTGTGTTTTTTTTTTGCTTAACCAAAATGCTCAAACGGCCAAATAATCGTCGGTTTAAGTACCTCGTAAATAGCAAAATAAGAAGAATATTATGAGATATTAACTATATGCGAATGCATCTAATTAAATTCCACATTTATAGGTTGTAATATCTGAATGATAGGTTCTCCTTACACAACAAATATAAGTAAAATTAGAAGCAATTAATATCGCATTCAATGCTGCATCAGTCTATACCCCTTTTAATTTTTCACGAATAATCCCTTTAACACTTTATTTTTTATTTATTCAGATTTAGAGAATCAAAGACACCTTCTGCGTTTGTTGGGAAAGTATTCAATAGAAAAATAATATGACGCTGCAACTTTTAAATTTGAGATAAATATTTAATTCCTCAATGAATTTATGAATAAGAAATACGGGATGTCGTAGAGGAATTTAATTACCCGTAGACCTGTATAAGATTAAGCTTAATATGCGTTATCTCAAGATTTAAGAGTTCAAAACTTGTGGACCGATTAGTTTAGGTTTAGTCATGGGTTTACCTTCAATCCTAATCCCAGCAGGGTTTTAATCTCCTGATCTGCAGTATCAAATCCAAGCAGGGTCAATTTTCTGAACTCATAAACACCTGTACCTAAGAACCAGGGATTTAAAAACTGACTGCTCCTAATAAACCAGGGATTTAAGACCTGACTGCTCCTAATAAACCAGGGATTTATATGGAACCAGGAATTTAAGAAGAATCGACCCTTAATAAGCATGAATTTTTAAACTATGAAAGGACTAAACCTTGGAAATCTGTGATTTAAGAACGGACTACTTCTTTTAAACCAGGGAGTTAAGGGGGGAAAGGACTACTCCTATTAAACCATATAACAAAGACAAAATTATTGGAAAGTCTTGCAGCATAGCTTTCCCTAAAGATTTAAAAAAGTAACATATTTTTCCTCTTACAAATGGAGTAATTTTAACGAAA